CTTGACTTGAAGAGTTGATTCTCAATTACGTGATCTTGGGTCGCATTTCAGGTACTGTTTTCATGCCTTTAGTAAAATCTTTGAAGGGTTTTCTCAGATTGGTGGAATTAGTTCGTGGGTCTCGAGAAAACAAGAGAAAGTATTATCCTTTGTATGATAATCCTCTGGTTTCTGTGTAATTTCATCGAGAAAACGAAGAGAATTTAGTTGGGTGATTCTGTGTTGTTATTCTTCATTCTTTCTAGTAACGAAATTGGATTTAGGAAGAGTAAATGATTTGTGTTTCTTCTAATCAGCTAATTTGGTTTTGCGAGTATGCAGTTACTTTGATTCACTGAGAAAATGGCGACTGGAGTATTGCCAGCTCCTGTATCAGGGGTCAGTAAGATCCCGGATTCGAAGCTCGGGTTTGGTAAAAGCATGAATTTTGTGAGAATTTGTGATTTGAGAAGTCTAAGATCTGCTAGAAGGAGAGTATCCGTTATCCGGAATTCGAATCAAGGCTCTGATTTAGCAGAGCTTCAACCTGCATCAGAAGGAAGTCCTCTCTTAGGTAATATGCATAAGAGATGCAATTCAGATGATAGCTTTTTTTTTATTAAGAGTTTTGTATGTTATATTGGTTTTTGTAGTGCCAAGACAGAAATATTGCGAGTCGTTGCATAAGACGGTGAGAAGGAAGACTCGTACTGTTATGGTTGGAAATGTCGCCCTTGGAAGCGAACATCCGATAAGGATTCAAACGATGACTACATCGGATACTAAAGATGTTGCTGCAACTGTTGATGAGGTTTTTGCATCTGTTCCTAAAATCTATTTGCAGTTTGAAAATATCCGAGATCCACAATCTAATTGCATATGCATCAATAAAAATTTGGGATCAGATGCTTGATTCCATAAGCCTGTGACTTTTAAGTTGACATTATAGAGACACATGTTGTTGGTTCTGTGATTGTAGGTTATGAGAATAGCGGATAAAGGAGCGGATATTGTCAGGATAACTGTTCAAGGGAAGAAAGAAGCCGATGCGTGCTTTGAAATAAAAGATAAACTTGTTCAGCTTAAGTAAGTTGACGGCCATATTGAGTTTATGTTTGTTTCTGGATTTTGAGTAGTGATGAAACAGAATTGGTGTTCTGCGGTGTTGGTTGCAGTTACAATATACCGCTGGTGGCGGATATTCATTTTTCTCCTCCAGTAGCCTTGCGAGTAGCTGAATGCTTTGACAAGATCCGTGTCAACCCTGGAAATTTTGGTACGTTTTTTTCTTTTGTCTCTCTCACTTGTTTCTTTAACTCGAAAATGAATGATATTTTGCCTTTGCAGCCGACAGACGGGCCCAGTTTCAGACGATAGAATATACAGAAGATGAATATCAAAAAGAACTTCAGCATATCGAGCAGGTGGAAGGAAGCTTTTGTTTTACTTGCTGTGTGAGACCTGTAAAGTATTACCCGGTCTTAAGTTAACGGTGTTACTCTGTTTTAAGGTCTTCACTCCTCTGGTTGAGAAATGCAAAAAGTACGGTAGAGCAATGCGTATAGGGACAAATCATGGTAGTCTTTCTGACCGAATCATGAGCTATTACGGGGATTCTCCACGAGGAATGGTGAGGAATCTTAAAGACTGAGAAACGATTTCTCTTCATACACATGTACTGTTGTGTGACCCAAGTTCTGTCACACAGGTTGAATCTGCGTTTGAGTTTGCACGAATATGTCGGAAATTAGACTATCACAACTTTGTTTTCTCAATGAAAGCGAGCAACCCGGTGATCATGGTCCAGGCGTATCGTTTGCTCGTGGCTGAGATGTATGTTCATGGATGGGATTATCCTCTGCATTTGGGAGTTACTGAGGCAGGAGAAGGCGAAGACGGACGAATGAAATCTGCAATTGGAATCGGGACGCTTCTTCAGGTACCCCATTACATAAAATAGGGTAAAGACCTTTCCTTTGATAGTTCATATATGGCAATAATTGTTGTAATTGCAGGACGGACTAGGTGACACGGTAAGAGTTTCGCTGACGGAGCCACCAGAGGAGGAGATAGATCCATGCAGGCGATTGGCCAACCTAGGGACGAAAGCTGCTGAACTTCAACATGGCGTGGTATGAAATATTCTTCTTCATCAGATTCTTTTCTGATATAGTTTCCACTTTATGAGACTAATGAAACGGTTTGTATTAGGCACCGTTTGAAGAAAAACATAGGCATTACTTTGATTTTCAGCGTCGGACGGGTGATCTACCTGTACAAAAAGAGGTAAGACTACACTTTGAAAGAGAAGAAAAAAATTATGTTCTTCATGATGTCGTTTCCAAGTATCGGAGAAAATTGAAATGGTTCTTCGTGGAACTACAGGGAGAAGAGGTTGATTACAGAGGTGTCCTTCACCGTGATGGTTCTGTTCTGATGTCGATTTCTCTGGATCAACTAAAGGTGAGTATTTACAAATACTCTTCGCTTCTTCTTCTATTTCTTAAATGCATATCTGGAACGGATCATTGTCTTTCCATTAACTATTTCACTTTCTTTCTAGGCACCTGAACTCCTCTATAGATCGCTCGCTACAAAGCTTGTTGTGGGCATGCCATTCAAGGTGAGAATGGTTCATTTTATTTTCATGAGGAACGCAGTCTCACCATAGTGATTTTATATTGGTTCCCAATTCATACTTCCCAAGTAATGCTTGTATAGGATCTCGCAACAGTGGATTCAATCTTATTAAGAGAGCTACCGCCTGTAGATGATAACGTGGCTGTAAGAATCACCCTTTGTCTCTCAATCATTTACTTATTGTCCGACATGGTTGAATAATAAACAATGAGCTCTGTTTACAGCGTTTGGCTCTTAAACGGTTAATCGATGTCAGTATGGGAGTGATAACACCTTTATCAGAGCAACTCACAAAGCCATTGCCCAATGCAATGGTTCTTGTCAACCTCAAGGAACTATCTGGTGGTGCTTATAAGCTTCTCCCAGAAGGTGAACCAAGAAACTTACTGAAAAACTCACATTAAAGGAAACAACCTTTTCGATTTTCTTAGCTTTTGGTTATTTCAGGTACACGCTTGGTTGTCTCTGTACGAGGTGATGAGTCTTACGAGGAGCTTGAAATACTTAAAAACATCGACGCTACTATGATTCTCCATGATGTACCCTTCACTGAAGACAAAGTAAGCAGAGTACACGCAGCTCGAAGGTAATAATCAGAAATTCTTGCTATCTACCTTTTGCGGATTTAAAAGTTATGGCCACCTTTATGAGCTAACTTATATTCCTTTTCCGGATTTGTAGACTGTTTGAGTTCCTATCCGAGAATTCAGTCAATTTTCCCGTTATTCACCACATTAGGTTCCCAAACGGAATTCACAGGTAGATAACGACTGGAACCTAAACATCAAAGCGTGTACAGTGAACGGAAAATCCAATTTAATCTTATGATGGTTTCTTCCTTCTCGTGCACAATGCAGGGACGAATTGGTGATACATGCAGGGACTTACGCTGGAGCCCTTCTTGTGGATGGACTTGGCGATGGCGTATTGCTTGAAGCACCTGATCAAGATTTTGAATTTCTTAGGAACACTTCATTCAACTTATTACAAGGCTGCAGAATGCGTAACACTAAGACGGTATAGCAGAAAGAATCTGTATTTCTGATCTTCTCAAAATCCTTCCTCAAAGAAAAGTAATAAACTGCGAAATCATTCGTGTTTTATTGCAGGAATATGTATCATGCCCGTCTTGTGGAAGAACGCTGTTCGACTTGCAAGAAATCAGCGCCGAAATTCGAGAGAAGACTTCTCATTTGCCAGGCGTTTCGGTAAAAAAAAAAAAAAAACTCTATACCTTTTCTGTTTTCAAGAAAGTTTTATGGTTTTGTGAAGTGGAAATGTTAACGAATTGAATAATGACGCAGATTGCAATCATGGGTTGCATTGTGAATGGACCAGGGGAAATGGCTGATGCTGATTTCGGTTATGTAGGTGGTTCTCCCGGAAAAATCGACCTTTACGTTGGAAAGGTGACACCACCTTTAATCTTGCGTTTCTTGAATCTTTTGAAGTGAATGTGTTGGTATGTATATTGAGTTTGAATTCTCCGAGTGAAAAGAATTGTGTTTCAATCCTGTGGACAGACGGTGGTGAAGCGTGGGATTGCCATGACAGAGGCAACTGATGCGCTGATCGGTCTGATTAAAGAACATGGTCGTTGGGTCGACCCACCCGTGGCTGATGAGTAGGTTTCAACGGCGGAGATGGATGGATCATTTTCTGAAACTCAAGAGTGAGACAGAAGTTATGTGTCTGTATATGTATCATCTACCATTTGTGTATTGCATCATATTCAACAGTGGCCAAATCTCTAAATTGATTACAGTTCTCACTGTTAAATATAAGAAGCTAGTTAGGGCTTGGGAGAAATATCATGACGTTAAATTATAGGAAAATCATAGCATTGCAACTTTTTTGAACAAAAAGATTAGGATTCTCAAAAAGGTTAACCTTTATAGATTATATAAATTTGTTCACAAATAGCCTTTCTCTTACAGTTAAAACACTCTCATGGCATACAAGTAAGAAACACAAGATTATATATTGCTTATTTTATTCTTCAAATAATTGCGACGAAAATATTTTTATTTATTTTTAAATCATTAGTTTAATTGGAAATATATATTGGAGACTTGAAGAATAAAAATGATCAAATTAATCGAAGAGGCAACAGCAAACGGGACCGGTGGGTTTGTCGAACATGCAGTGGCCGTCCATGGGCGTAGCATCGGTGCTCTTGTGGCAATGTTTGTCGCAGTCGCTGTCGGTGTTGCATGTTCCTCTCAAGCGGCACGGTCCGTCCATTACTTCATTTTCTGTTACTGTTAGATCAG